TGATAAATAGGATGAAATAGATCTGAACATCAACAGTCACATACAAACTCTCATTATTTCTTTTTTCTTTTTTTGTCTTCAATATATAAATACACACAAATACAGCATATATTTTGAAAATATTTACATGTATACATTTATATTCATGTAATATATAAATATATTTAATTGTCACACCCCATTGGACTTTTGTTCTGTTTTCATCCCTCATGTTTGATTGTGTCATTTAGTTCAGGTGTGTGTCATTAATTATCTCATTTGCTAGTGTAGTCCGTGCTGTCTTCCTTGGTCTGGTATTGTTGATGTTACCCTGTGTGTTAGACCCTCTTCTTCGTGTGGATTACCATTAAAATTATTTGTTGTTATAATCTTCGTCTCCCTAACAGCAGTAGCTTGACATTAATATATAAACGTAACATATTTTTCTTTAATATATGCATGTGTGTGTATTTATATATACATAATAAATATACACAGTACACACATATATTATGTAAACAAAAATTTTTATTTTGGAAACGATGAATCGTGATTAATCATTTGACAGCACTACAAATAATATTAAAATATATAATAATTAATAATTAAATGCACAGTTTTTTCTATGCATTGTATGTCTATTGCTTACTGTCTTTTTTTTTGGTTTGTGTATTATTTGTAAGATGTATTTTGCAGATGGGATGGAGTGAGTGTGTTTTTGGTTATTTATAGAGCGAGAGACAACAGAAGATGAGAAAGATGGAGAACACAGAAAGCTGTGTGAGTTTCTACACTTGTGAGAATGTAAAATGAACACAGATTACATAACTGGTTAACACACACACACGTGCGCACATTGAGAGCGTATTATTGCACTGCTACTATTATCTGTGTAAGAGTGATGTTAGTGCTGTCATGTTACAGCTTGTGTCACATAATGGACCTGTGTGTTCAGGTTAGGTTTGACTATGTTTTGGGGACCAAATGTCACCACCAGAATAGTAAAAGCTGAAATCACCTACTTTGTGAAGAGCAGCCAACAGTCCCCTTGAGGAAAACGGCTTAGACATGCTAAATTATGTTAATGGAAATTCAGAAATGTTCTCATGATATAAATGTGAGCGAGTGATATTAGTAGAGCTTTAGCATCTCTTTCAGTTTTCATGAATCCCTTGTGTGTGATGTCAAAGGTGAAAGAGCATCTTACTGTCCTTCATGGTTCAGCAATCAATCAAAAACACACCTCTATTCTCTGATGAATTGGCCCTAAACCCCGCCTTAAAACATTATTGACCAGTCCTGCTTTAGCAACCATTGCCATATCATGAGAAAAGCTTATGCTCTTTTCTAATGTAAGTCTATTGAAGTCCTTTGTATTTGTGTAGTTTTAAATGTAACAGAAGTTGTTAAAATATTGTGCAAGCCTACATATTCTCTTCATTTGCTGACTATTTAATTGCATTGCTGACTAGGAGGATCAGTTGAGACACTAAAGAGTAGGGATGCACAATATTATCAGAACATCATCGGAATTGGCTGATAAGGGCTTAAAGTGTAAACATCAGCCCAATATGAAAAATTATGCCGATATGGCTTGCTGATCATGATCATGTCAGGGGTGTGATCATACTTGAAGCCAACTTTTGCCTGAATGGTGAATAGATTCACTGTTTTGGATCACCGCTTTTAAGTTGTCACATTTAAATGTCCTAATGCCCATCAGGTTAGGCCTTTTATTCGTTTAGGGGGCGCTGTAGGCCTACTTGTAATAAAATGAAATGTAAAATACACAAATAACATTAAAGATACGTGTGTTTCTGAATAAATAAAGCAGGAATTGATGTCCAGTCTGTTTTGATTGTTAAGATCAGAAGCAATAGCTTACATGAATAAAAATCACAAACACTTGTAAATTAAATAAATGTATATGTACAGATTTATTTATTAATGTGTAATATATTTTTCAAACAGAATATGAAAACCTAAATACAAGGAGCTTTTTTACAGTTCTTTTGCTTTAGATAGGGATGCACAATATTGGGTTTTTGCTAATATTCGATAGGCCTATATATTTTTTTAACTCAGTTTGACAGATAGCCGATGCCGATACCGATATATATATACCCTTTTGTTTGGAAACAACACAAACTCTCTCTTGTGTAGATATACACAAATTACACAAATACACAAACCTTGAGCACATGCGAGTTATTCATCTTATCGGCAAGTCATATCTGCATTATTTTTCATATCGGGCTGATGCCAGTGTTTACATTTCAAGCCTTTATCGGCTGATCCTGATGACATTCTGATGATATTGCTCATCCTTAACTTTAGACCATAAACAAATGTTAAATCTACAAATAAAATGTTTACAGCTTAGGTTACAACTAAATCGGTTTGAGAAAAAAAAAACAGCAGTGATTCATATAAGCTTTCTTATTATAAAAAGAACTTTAATAATGTTTAGTTTTTTAGTCAAAGTCAAAGTTTTTGCTCAAAACTAAAATGAAAACCAAAATAATGTATGATCTATATCTTATTTACTGTATAATAATTTATTATTTATTTTATATAACCAAAATAAATATTATAATCTACCAGCCAAAATAAATTGAAAAATATCAGCATATCACAACATATTTGCAACAATCCAGTATTACACATCCCTATTAAACAGATCTCATTTGTGATTTTTTTTTGCTTTGAGGACACCTCAGGATAAAGGCAGAGAGATGATTGTATCCAAAGACAGATGAATCCATGAAACCTCATGAATATTTCAGGACAGGTGGTGTTAATTCATGGACATGATGCACGCAGAGATCATCAGTGATCCGCTGATCTGACTGCTTCACAGCCCCCTTGAGACCAAACACACACTCACACTGCACACACCCTCCAACACACTTCAGTGAACCTGCTAGTGATTACCTGCCCTGACAATCTAAGTCTAGATGAACACAACTGTCCCTGAAGGTCATGAGGTCAAACGTAAAGCTCAGAATATTATCTTCGGTGTTTGCTAAGGCGAGCATTACTCGTGCTCATACCTGGTATACTTAGCATTCAACGTTTGCAATTTATCCTGCACTGTTTGTTCTGCAAACTCAAGTCATGTTTTGTTGAGGAGAAGTATTCTATTTCTCTCCTTAACTCTTTCCCCGCTAAACACAGAATTTTCCTTTATTCATGAGGCAACGCTTCCCTGGCAAACACGGAATTTTCCGTTATTCATGAGACAACGCTTCCCTGCCAAACACGGAATTTTCCGTTATTCATGAGACAACGCTTCCCTGCCAAACACGGAATTTTCCGGGTTTCTGTGTTTTCACTGTTATTCGCTAGGGGGCGCTATTACACATCTCCTAAATGAGTCTAGAAAGTGCAGATCAAAATCACCTACCAGGAAGACGCAGAAACGAGCGATCTTATACATAAGCATATGCATATGAAAAATAATGTTATCATCAATACTAACCGCATATAAATGAAAACTGCCTAATGTTACAGAGTGAAATGTCAATCCAGAAAGTCGTAAAGGCCTGTGCAAACTTTGGGAGTACTGATGGAAGCCATCTACTACGTCTTTGCTTTGATAATATTACTGAATATGATCCAGATGTAGTATTTGATAAAAATTCATTTTTTTTCAGCTTTTTGCTTAAAATGTAGCTTTTTTTATGAAACCTACCTACATTCAAGTGTTGATAAAAAACAATGCTTGAAGCTAGAATAAAACAGATTTTTTTTGTTTGAAAGTAGAAGGACTGATCTTTATTTTGATGTATTGCATGTTCAGATATTCATTCAACAAAATATTCTGGGGGCCAAACAAGTCGTTTGTTGTAGTTTTTGAAAAGTGATTTCTGTTAAATGAAATATCTCCTTCTGAAGTGGACTCTTTTTTATGCTCAAACAGCAACATTACAGACTAACTAAAATTGAAAAAGTGAAAAAGCATAATAGGACCCCTTTAATAGGTTAGTTCACCCAAAAATGAAATTTCGCCATTAATTACTCACCCTCATGTCGTTCCAAACCCGTAAGACCTTTGTTCATCTTCAGAACACAAACTAAGATATTTTTGATGAGATCCAAGAGCTTTCTGACCCTGCATAGACAGCAACGCAACTATCATGTTCAAGGTCCAGAAAGGGAGTAAGGACATCATTAAAATAGTCCATGTGACATCAGTGGTTGAACCGTAATTAATGAAGCTAAGAGAATACTTTTTGTGTGCAAAGAAA